GGGCGCGTCGGGCTCTGCCTGCCCCGGCGCGCTTCCTCCTTACAAGTTTTGCTCCTCGGTTTTACGTTTCCCACCGGCTCTGCTTTGACAGTTAAGGGGAAGGCAGGCCTAGAAAAATAAAGTATCCTGCTCTTAATTTTCACGGCATCTTCCTACTTTCACGCTACCTCCTCCATTCTTCCAGGCCTGTTTTCCTGTCTTACCCTGGGACTTCCTCAGCTCTTTAGGGTGTTGAGTAAAGAGCTGCCTGCTCCTTATAGTATAGCCAGTGACATAGAAGACAGTAATTTTACAGGACAGCCTCGCTTTGTGGTTGCCTTTAGGAGCAGCTGTTCAAAGGATTATCTTCCTAGGTAGTAGGCACCATGTGGTGAAGTTTATAGGCTGGGGGGCTTAGAATAATACTTGTTGTTCTGGTTCCTGTGCTGACAGAGGATCTTGTTGCATCACAGCCTGCTGCCGCTGAGCAATCCTAATGAGTTCTCTTCTCCCTTTGCAGGTATGGCCTCACAGCTGCAGGTGTTCTCCCCTCCGTCAGTATCCTCGAGTGCCTTCTGCAGTGCCAAGAAACTGAAAGTGGAGCCCTCTGTCTGGGATGTTTCAGGACAGAGCAGTAGTGACAAGTATTATACCCACAGCAAAAACCTCCCAGCAGCTCAAGGGCAAGCAGGCTCCTCTCATCAGGTAGCCAATTTCAGCATCCCCGCTTACGATCAGAACCTCCTTCTCCCTGCTCCTTCAGTTGAGCACATTGTGGTTACAGCAGCAGACAGCACCGGCAGTGGTGCAACAGCATCCTTCCAGAACAGCCAAGCCCTAACGCATAGGAGCAACGTTTCTTTACTGGAACCATTCCAAAAATGTGGATTAAAAAGGAAAAGTGAAGAGGTTGACAGCAACGGTAGTGTGCAGATAATTGAGGAACATCCACCTCTCATGCTGCAAAACAGACCTGCGGTGGGTGCTGCGGCCACGACCACCACGGTGACCACTAAGAGCAGCAGTTCCAGTGGTGAAGGGGATTATCAGCTGGTCCAGCATGAGATCCTGTGCTCTATGACAAACAGCTACGAGGTCTTGGAATTCCTGGGCCGAGGGACGTTTGGGCAGGTGGCAAAGTGCTGGAAACGTAGCACGAAAGAGATTGTAGCCATCAAAATCCTGAAGAACCATCCTTCCTATGCTAGGCAGGGCCAGATAGAAGTGAGCATCCTCTCTCGCTTGAGTAGTGAGAATGCTGATGAATATAACTTTGTTCGCTCCTATGAGTGCTTTCAACACAAGAATCATACATGCCTTGTATTTGAGATGCTAGAACAGAACTTATATGATTTCTTAAAGCAAAATAAATTTAGCCCATTGCCTCTGAAA